CTTCCCCTGACCGTCACAACAGTCCTTGCAAATTTCCACTTGGTGTCTGCCTTTCCCCATGCGTACTTGCTTCTCTCTCTATCTTACCTGCTCTCTGTCAATCTCAGAAAGCACTCGGTTTAAGCCGGATGTTACCCGGATATTGCCTCGTTAGCATAACCAGGAAGACTCTCCTCTCTAAGGAGCTGGAAGGCTGAGTAGGGTCAAGATCCCAACTCCTGTTTGGGGCGGGAGAGGGGCAGTTTCAACCCTCACAGGGGTCAAAATCGAATTCCGAGTTTCCCGATTTCAGAGGAGGAAGAAATCACATTCGCTCCGACCTACCGTTTTGAAAGACTGACGCGGGACAAGTACGTCTACACTAAGCAGAAAGCCACCGGGGTGAGTTGGGTTTGCAGACACGGTCCCTCTTCTCAGCCCTCTCCTCTCTGTGCCCAAGACTCGCTGCCATCAACCCCGTGGGGTTCCGAGACCATACCTGTTGGCGGGAGTAGAAAGCCCGTCTTTCTCCCGCAGAGCTGCTGGTGGTTTTGAACTGCCGACCATGCAGATCGCAGCCCAACGCCTAACCATTATACCACCAGGGCTGAAAATGAAGGTTATTCTTGCCTATTCAAAAACACCAAACTCACTGCCTTCCAGTCGTTTACGACTCACAGCAACCCTACAGGACAGAGAACTGCCCCCCATTCCCCCGTGAGTTTCCAAAACGATAACTCTTTGCAAGAGTAGAAGGAGGCTCTTTCTCCCTCACAGCAACTGGTGGTTTTGAACTGCTGATCTTGCAGTTAGCTGCCCAATGTGAAACCACGACCCCACCAGGGCTCTTGGGCAAATAATAATACACCTACTCCTCACCTATCATCACCTTCCTCTGGCTCACAAAGACCGAGTCATGGTGCCTAAAGGGAAGGCGGCCACCTCTGCTCACCAGAAGGATCATGACTACATCACTACCTAACTGCCAAGCCACTAAGACTCTCAGCCAAGAGGACACACCTTTCAACCGTCGAGCCAGCATCCTCCTTTCTGTTAGTTAATGCACGTGCCTCGTTGGGCACAGACTAATCCCCCAGCAGACTTTTGATTCATGTCAGGTAATGGGACAGTTGGTAAGGGAGGAGCAGGTGTAATAAGAAATTGCCTGCGCAGGGTCCAGGTGGAGAGGTGTGTGTGAATCAGAAAGAGGTGCAGAGGAAGAATCAGGGACCCTGAAGTGAGGGGGATGCTGAGGGTCCACACACCAAGGTCACTGATGTCATTTCTTTTGTGTTTTTAATCATTTCATTGGGAGCTCTTATCAAAATCCATCCATCCATTGTGTCAGGCACATTTGTACATTTGTCTCCACCATCATTCTCAAAATATCAGCTCCTCGTTTTACCCCCTCCCTCCCCCACCATTCCACCCTAATGAACCCTTGATAATTTATAAATTATTATTATTTTTGTCATGTCTTACACTGACCGATGTCTCCCTTCACCCACTTTTCTGTTGCCCGTCCCCCAGGGAGGGGGGTCTATGTAGATCATTGTGATCGGTTCCCCTTTTCTCCTCCATCTTCCCCTTCTCCTCCTGGTATTGCTACTCCCAATATTAGTCCTGAGGGGATCATCTGTCCTGGATTCCCTGTGTTTCCAGCTCTTATCTGTACCAGTGTACATCCTCTGGTCCAGCTGGATTTGTAAGGTAGAATTGGGGTCGCAATAGTGGCGGGGAGGAAGCATTAAAGAACTAGAGGAAAGTTGAATGTTTCATGGATGGCTATACTGCTCCCTGACTGGCTCATCTCTTCCTTGAGACCCTCCTGTGAGGGATGTCCAATGGTCTACAGATGGGCTTTGGGTCTTGGTGTCATTTCTAAAGCAGTGTCCGAAGCACCTAACAGTGCAGGCACGGCCTGGAGGGAATGGAGGGGGTCCAGCGGTCTGCCTCCTGAAAAGCAGCAGCCTTGGAAACCCTGTGGGCAGTTCCCCCCTGTCCTGTGGGCTTGCTGAGTCGGAACGGACTCGAGAGCACACAGTAGGACCACAGCCAACGCCCGGGGACACCCGGCAAAGAGCCAAGGGCAGGGGAGTGAAGTCCAGGAGGGCAGGGCACTTCTCTGATTTGAGAGAAAGGTAAATACGAGCAAGCCGCCAGGTGTAACGCCCGTGCCTCTGACCTGCAGATGAAGTTCAACCTGCCCTCGTGGTGTGACCGGGTCCTCTGGAAGTCCTACCCGCTGGTTCACGTGGTGTGTCAGTCCTACGGTAAGCAGAACCTGGGTGGACGCAGAGGGCTGTGCCAAGTCGGGAGGGCAGGTCCCTATACCAGAGGACTCCCATCCGGTGCTCTGCTACCCTCTGCCCGGCCGTGGGGTGGAAATACCCATTGCCACCCGACAGTCCCCCCGAGAGCGTCGAGGTCCTAGGTCTCCCTTCTCGGCTGCAGCTCAGTGCACAGCCCTCGGCTTGAGGGGTCCTCCTGGGCTGTGGGGTCCACTGCGGCCACGTCCTAGGGCTTCAGGGCACTCTCATGCAACACTGTGGCTATGAATGTTTGTCAGGATTCCGAGTGGGGCAGGGGTGGCGGGGCGCAGCGCTTCCCGATCTGTTTCTGCTTCCGGCTGTTCTTCGGTGGGATCGTGTAGGGTCTGCCTCACAACCGGCCGGTGAGTACAAACCGGAATGAGACGCTGCCTGGCCTGGAGCCAGCCGCCCCGCCAAGCATTGCTGCGTCTGAACCTCTTGTGGCCGCCGCCTGTCCATCCGTCTTGTTGGGGGCCTTCCTCTTTTCCCGGACACTCTGTCTGCCCCCACATGACGTCCTTCTCCGGGGACTGGTTCCTCCTGATAAACATGAAGCATGCGGCCTGTAGTGCTTCAAAGCAGATGCTGGCGGTACGTGGTCCATGCCACGGTCCTTTGGTCTGCCCCATCTGCGGCCCGGCTTTCACGTGCATAAGGGGGTGACAGAAAACACCGCGGCTTGGGTCGAACGTGTCTTAGTCTTCCAAGTGACCCCTTGGCCTTTGAACGCTGCTCGTAAGTCTGCATCTGGTGGCTACAGCAATCCTGGTAAAGCCGCGCCTCTCCCTCCGTATGCGTCTTCTCTGGTGTCTCGTCCCGCCAAGTGATGGCACTTAAAGTCCGTCCGACTCGGGTCTGGCGCTGTGGATGTTGAGACTCTACTTCCCGACAGGAACCTGCTGACAGGCACGTAACTCGGGAGGACACAATTCAATCCCCATCACCTCGGGACAACCTCGTCCATTACCCCCGCCAAGCCTGACCCTCCCCTCCCCACCTCCACCCTCCCGCTTCCCCCAGCACTGCACCCTCTCAGACTTCTTCCGACCCCACTCCACGCTCTCTTTAGGGAGATGTTCTCTGTCTCAGTTCTCCAGCGCTGCTGTGATATATACCACAAGGAGGGGTTTTGAAAACCAGTTTCGAGGGCTGGAAGTTCACAGTGAGAGAGAGGGCCGGCTCTAAGGAAAGTTCCAGCAGCTTGACTTCAGAGTGCCAGCTCTAAGAAAGCCTATCTCTCTGTATGCCTCCTGGTTCTAGAAAGTTCCTTTGCCAGGGACCCCCACCCCGGGTGCGAAGGACGCACTGAGCTCCTCCTGCTTCTTTCTTGGCGATAGGAGGTCTCGCTGATCTCGGCTCACTTGCTCGATCTGTTGCGGCAACAAAAACAGATAAACTCAGAAGGCTAATCCTATAGATCGCATCCTGCCGGTCAGCACCCTAGAGGTCAGGATCTACAGCACACAGAGAATGACAGCACATCCCAAAGTGGCAGCTACTTAACCAAATCCTGGGGATCTTGACCCAGCCAAGTGGACGTGTGTGTGTGTGTGTGTGTGTGTGTGTGTGTACACAATTATCACCACCTCTGCCTTCTTCTGTCCTGTCTCAGAGAGAGGGTGCTCACCTTTTACCTGGCTCCCAACTCTCCCCTCATCTCTCCCAGGACCCTGTCCCCTCCCCTCCAAGACTGTTGGCTCCATGGGCCCTTCTGGTGGTCACTAGCTAGTGATCATTTCTTCATGTGTTTTCTGCCCAGATCCGTAAGCGTTGGAAGGGCGTGGGGTTCATCGTTTTCTTGATGGTAAAAGCCTTCCAGAGAAGGAAAACCAGCTCTATTTTATTCCTCCTTCCTTGTGCTGCTGTTCCACGGGGGCCGGTGTGTCCCAGAACTCCATCCTCCGCCCACATCACTCCTCATCCTGCTTGTCTTCCCCGTGGAAGCTGACGCATGCTCCTGCCGTCGGCTTCCACATAATCTCACGACTTGAAATCTTTATCCCCAGCCCTGAGTATCCAGTTTCCTTCCTGTCAGACGTGGTCCTGGGTGCCTCAGAAGAATCCAGGATTTCTAGAACAGTGTCCCCATGTGCTCTCTGCTGTCTGCCCTTTTCCGCCAAGCTTCCCTCTACTTGAAGAAGGTGCCTCCCTCCCCTCCCTGTGTCTAATCACACACATGCTCTCTCGCTGAGGAGCTGAGTGAACGGAGTGGGGAGGGCCCTTGTCAATCAAATAAAGCATTCGGCCAGAAGACCCTGCATGCTTGACGCTCCACAATCCTTTCAAACATCTGAGAGTCTAAGAACAACTGACGCGGGAACGTTATCACCAGGAGAAGACAGGGCTAGAGGTTGTCTTAAGGGCGCCTATACAAGGTTGACCAGACAGCCGGTGCAAACCCCTGACATCGCAGAGGGCTGTAGAAACAATCGTGTCTCTTCCGAGGGTCTGCCGCCCCTGCTCAGAGACGCCCTTCCTCCCCTGCAGGCACGACCAGTGACATCATGACAAGTGACCACAGCCCTGTCTTTGCCACGTTTGAGGCAGGGGTCACCTCCCAGTTTGTCTCCAAGAACGGTGAGTGATTGGCCGGGCCCGTTTCCCCCGCTTCACAAAACAGAGGCCTCAGGGTCTGTAAGCGTCGGTTGGCCGCCATAGAGTCTCGTCCTCCCGGGCAAGCTCACTCACCAGCCTCGGTCCAGCGGCTCATACCCAGGCCACCACCCAAGAGTCCTGCCGAGAACATCATTGTTCCGCGTGGCAGATACGTCAGCTGTGTGGGCCTCGGGGTTAACCTTGCCTGAAAAAGCAAGTTTGTGGGTTCCCCGGGGGTGGTCCATGTACCACCAGGGACAATTGTGGGTGGGATATTCATGAGTAATACATTATATAGATATATTTACATTTATTATTTT